TTTTGTGACGTTTTCAACCGTGAGATTTTGTGATATATACATTTTACTGATTTATTTAATTTATTATGATACTTTTACTAAGAGCATCAGTTACATCACACAACGTTCAGATTTTTAACATATGCTTCTTTTTTTTATGCTTCTTATTTTCTTTATTGTCACTTGTATCTAACGTTACATAAATAGAAGCATCATCGAAGCGTTTTCACTGGTGCGTCTTATTCACCGGGCAAAGGGGATTGTTTTCGTCGCTTTATTTCAATCCTCTTATCAAAGCGGCCGTGCTTCCAATTTCCCGGGTGCTTTCATGCACTTTGAACGATGCGCTTAATTCACCGAATAAACGCCTCTCCTGTGCTTTTTCTCTCGCTCAGCCACGCGCGATCGTAATTTGCTCGAAAAAGCAGTACCTACGAATCGTCCGTGGTCGAGGCCAAAAAGCGGCAGTGACTCGTGAAGCGTGTTCGAATTCAAAAGGCTCGTAATTAGTCGACGTGAGCATGTTGGAACAATCGTCGCTTGACCCTCGTCCATCGCACTCTACAACGGGCCGGTTTGAAATGTCTTTCCATCCGAAACCTTCGTTTCCGGCAGCAAAACACAGAAAAAACGAATGAAAATCGACATAAATAAATAAAAGGTCGGAAAACTCTTGGAAACGTGCACGCGAACAAATAACTGCATTTTGCATCAAAACTATTTGTAACGTCACTATATGGTTAATTTTATTTGAACAAAAGTAGATTTTTTTTCGCTTCGTCATAATGCGTTTGTTATCGCGGAATGCGACAGCAGAATATATAACATTAATGTAAATTTTGATATACGTGAGCAACAAACAAGCGAGGTCGATTATCCTCTTCCGTAACATTTGTTCTCGTAAATCAACTTATCATAGAAATTTGTCCGGAAAACGGGAAAATATTCATTGAGCTGCATAAAGTGATAATGACGTCATTATCAAAGTTCACAAAATGTCTCGGAAATGAGCTTGCCTGTATTACTCGTTCAATAGGATGAGAGATTACAAAAGCCGTGCTTGATTTATCGAATAAAACACGTTTTATGCAACAAAATGAGAAAAATTATAATTTTCTGTGCTTTATTATATGATTTATTATGACGATACGTATATTCGTGCGCGCAACATCTTTTGCATTGAAATATTCATCCCGTTAATTGAAAATTTAATTAATCGTTGGAGTGACTTGACTTTTCAAGCAAAATAACATAAGGAAAAAAGTTCGATAACATGGCAATTACTGCATCTCTAATTATGCCTAATGTGTTCTTAATTGCCTGCTTTACATTTTATATATGTCACCTACTCGTTACATTTGTTTTCTTTGTTAGCTTAAATTAATTTGGGATTAGCATGCCGTAAAGCTCGACGCAACGTTTACGTACTTAATAACAGCTGTAAAAACAAAAATATTCACATGTAGTCATTACAATAACATATGATAGTTGCGTGTTGCAAAACACGGATAATTATGCAGAATGCTATACGAGTTTGTGACCTATATTTTGTAATATAATTTTTTCATGCAAATACTTTTGTTACGTCTGATGGTATATGCGGTTGGTTTTCTTTGTGAGCATGAACATGACTTAAAATAATAGTGCGGCATAATATGCTGAGGCCACGTATGTTCGCTGTTTAAAAAAAAAATAGCTTTCTCTATTCATAATGTGAATGGATACACCAAAGCTGTGTGCGCTATGTAACGCTATGTTCGCTATGTTCGCTAGCGATAGATTCCGTCGTGGAGTGTTTGGCTCTCAGCTTAAAATCAGCATCAGCTGTTGACCCGACTATGAGACCTGGCAGATTCACTCGACTTGCGCAGCGTGACGTCCACGTGCCGAGATCTAAAGTGAGTTGCTTTCACCAATGCTCGATCGTATCCAGGAACCAGAACATAACGTTTTACAAACCTGTTACATTTAACGTTCGTCACGCAACAACTCGACTTTTATACTGCACACATTTATTTCCGAAGTGATTGGAAATTAACCAAGTAAACTACTTTTATTTAACTCTCATCCTACCAGAAAAAGCGTGTGTAAATAATCACAATCGATTCACTCGATATTGATTGTTGCCACTTTTATCTCGACGCTGAGTGGACGTTTCTAGGATGTGTTTCTCGATTCATGTCATACATATCAAGATGCACGGTAGTGTCTCGCGCCAAGTTTACGTGAACCGAAGTCGCGTTCGAACGGCGCGAGGCACTCGTGCATCTTATACGCGAAATTCATGCGATTGAAAATGGAGATCTTCATGGAGCACTATCTCAAGAACGACTGAACCGATCACTTTCGTTTTAGTCTAAATCGCTTCAAAACAAAAAACACTAGAAAACAAAAATATTCTTGCGTTTCTTAAAGTCACGTAACAGAGAAGAGAGGAAAAGCCCCACGTGACTAAATATATATTGTAGATATAGAATATTATATATAATATTGTCTGTTTTACTTTTTTCCCTGACCTTACTTTAATCACGTTTTTAAAGACACGTGACTAAAGTACAGTCATGTTACTTTACTCACGTGTTGTTTTTTCACTCTCCCTTTTTTCTATTTTTCGAGTTTGAGTTTCATGCGTTATTTCTGACATTTCTCATATGTACATGTGTATTATATGGTTTGTAAGACGTATAAACATGTAATTTATTATATATTTATAATATTATACTTTATATTGTATTATATGTATTATATACATACTACAGTAATGTCACTGACCTCCGCCGCGCGGCCTTGGCGCGGTCACTGACCTCGGCCGCGCGGCCTTGGCGCGGTACTGACCTCAGCCGCGCGGCCTTGAGGGGTCACTGACCTCGGCCGCGCGGCCTTGGCGCGGTCACTGACCTCGGCCGCGTGTGTACGGTAGGATCACTGACCTCGGTCGCGCGACCGCGGCAGAGTCACTGATTTTGGTTGTGTGATTACGGTATACATATATATATATATATATATGTGTGTGTGTGTGTGTGTGTTATATATAGATGTAGAATATTTTATATAATATATAATATTTTATATATATATAATATATATAATATTACATATAATATTATATACTAGAATATTATATATAATATATATAATATTCTCTTTTTTACTCTTTTCTGTGTCATGTGACTTTAGTCATGTGTTGTTTTTTCCTTTTTTTTTATTTTTCGAGTTTGATTTTTATGCGTTATTTCTGACATCTCTCATATGTACATCATGTGTATTATATTGTTTGTAAGACGTATATACTAGCTGTCATCGCGGTGACAGGTTGTGTTTACTGGCATAACACGTTAAAATAGAAACAATAATAGCGTGCGCGTAGCGCGCGCTTGTGTTGTGTGCTAATATTAAAAAAATAAAACAATTTTGAAAGAAAGTACAAAGTTTGAGCAAAATATGATATAGGCGGTTTTTACTTTTTATAAGACGAGAATTTTACTTTTTTATTGAGATGATAGCTAGATGTTTCTCGGAGTTGAGAAGATTACATTTCTGAGTGGAAGGAGAGAATAATGCGTAACTTTTATTAAAACAGTATAACTCGTAATATTAAAATATTTTGATGCCGCGGGCGCTTGCATTTCTGGATCTCCAGATTTCTTCGACGCGATGCCTTCGCGGTTCGCAGAATTCTGCGAGTTTGCCTATCATCCGGTTGCATCTTTTAAACTTATTTAAGTTACGCCCATATTTTATCCAAGAACGGACGATGCCTCGAAGAATACGACGAGCCAGTCCGCAGCGAAATTTCACTGAGCTATAGCTACCGCCATATCGCGTGTGTCCCATCCACATCGAAAATCCACGTAATCTTCCGAAGTGTCCGCAAAGCGATGCAGAGAAACGATAAGTGGAACGGTGTGAAATAAAAAGAGAAATTTTGTGTTTCGTCAAATCCGCCGTTGGGAAATCGATTCTCGAGTAATCCCGTTCGGTCGTAATTTCGTATACGATATTGAATCCGATTTAATATCGAACTGCGTGCCTTCGCTTGCAAGTTGAAGTTTGCAACCGGATATTATCTTCACAGTTACTGCAATCAATTAATGCCATTTTCTTTGCTGAGTTTTTTCTCAAAATAGATTATATCACTTTGCATGTTCTACGTCTTCAATTACAATTAAATCCGTCTAATTTGCTTAATTAAAATAAATCAAAGATTTATCTTACTTGAATATTTAATTTTTCTCGTATATATAGATATTTGTGACATTGTACTTTATACATGTGAAATGACATTACATGTTGAATTTAAAAATAAAAATAGTTTTAGATACATACATATAATAGATTATGTTTATTGCTTGTCTTGAAATTTTCGGAATGCAGCAGTTTGTTGGCATTCAGCAGTAGAAACGCAATTTCGCACAGACGATTCTGCAATAGAAATTTGGATGTATAAGCGATTACGAAGCACGCGCATTTCTCGTTCTTATTTCGCGAATAGAGTTGGAATCGGGGACGATATTGTTTTCCGCGAGCTCCCCGGGCGCGCGCGCGCCGGGCTCGGCGTACGCGACGTCCAATCGTACTTCCGCTTTATATCGAGTGCTATTTTGGATGATTTATCGACGAGGCGCTTTCGTCGCTGCTAGCTCGATATCGGCTTCCTCTCGTTTTTTTCCCTCCCTCTCGATCACCGGCAGCGTTTATCCTCGCTGCGCAGCCTTCGCCACACTCTACTCTCGTTTCCTCCTCCTCTTTCTCGTTCTCTTCGTTCTTTTCTCTCACTCGCTTCTGTACCATCACTCTGAGTGACAAGCCTTTGTCACTTCCTCTCTTCAACCCGCGCAGCTGCGATCGGTCGGCTGTGCACTTCGAAGTTCAGATCGGTTTTAAAAAGCGAGAAGAGGAAGGAAATAGAATGGGAAGGAGAGTGCGAGAGAACAGGGAAACGACAAATTCGGACGAGGAGAGAGACGACAACGTAAAGCTGTATGATCGATATAAACGACCTCTTTTTGTTTGTTTTTTAGATTCTACCGTGCCGGTGGCCCTTTGTCTGCTGATCGAGAAAGGACTGTCTGTGGTGAGTGAATTTTTCTTCCAAATATTTTGGTATACATATGTATAAGAGGCGCGCGAGCGGAAAGTGAGCAAATCCAATATCCGGGTAATCGACTGAACGATAGTCGCGCGATACCGCAACTCGTTCGACAAGGGAGGCGTTACATTGTAATTTATTGTCTCTAATAGCGTCGATGCTTTCGCATTGTATCGATTTGAAATAAAAGAATCGGCGAGGTCGCATCAGCAACAGCTTTGTAAAATTTTACGTGCGATTAATTCATTTGTTTTCTCTCTATGCGATCGACAAAATACGCATTGTAGAATTATTCACATAGTTTTTATTAATAAAGAAGTAGAGCATTTTACGCGGAACATTTTAAATATTTGTATAAAATGGTATTTAAAACATTATATAAGTAAATAAATGAAATGTTATAACGCATTTTATGATGTTTGTAATCCACAAATCTAATTTACAGGCGATTTATCTTTAATTATAAATATTTACAGATATTTCTAGCTAACTTATATTGTATTTAGAGCAAAAATCATAATGCTAACAAAGGCTTGATGATAACAAGCGCTATTGTCTTTGAAGTTCGCGCTTCGAAATAAAAATACGAAAATAAATACGTCCGAGTTTCATTTGTATGAAATCCTAGGTGATCAAGAACGAGGAAGAAAATTCTCGCCTCGAAGAAAAGTATCCGCGTCTGTGTGCTTTTCCGCTTCTTGCAACATCCGCGGCGAACATTGAAGAGAAACCAAAAATAAAGAGAAAGACAAAGTCAAAGAGAAATAAACACGAGAAACTCAGAGACACACATGCGCTTTTCACTTCTGACTGACCACTTTTTTTCCAGATAGCGGGACAGAGAGAACTTTAAATTAATAATGATATGGAGAACACTCGCGCGACGTAAAACTTTCCGTGTAACTATAGGAAAAAATAGAAAAACAACATCAAGGGAGACGTTTGTTACTCTTTTCCAAATTCTCGTTTAGACTTTTATATCGTTAAATTGTTGACTTCACTTCTGCGTACAATATTCAGAATCCTTGTATTTATCATACAACGCAATAAACATTTTGTTTCATGAACTATTTTAGTTTGCATGAGAAAGAAAGAAATATTTTTTTATTATTTTTCTCCCTGTTCGTGTATTTTATTCTCTTGTCATGACAAATACTCAAGATTCCATTTAGATGTGTGTGTTTATCTTTTTGTATTTATCTTTTATATTTTATCTTTCCTTTATATTTTTCATTGTACGAATTCTAACAAACTTAAACATAAAGGAAAAATAAATAAACACTTTTATGTCACAACTGTTTTCATTAAAAATAAATTGAACTTTGAAATGATACTCTTTCACGATAATTACGTTATCAAGCATCGCGGTCTGACAATGAAACTTTTACTACTCCCCTTAGACAGCAGTAACGCCTAGGAATACCACTTAAAGTTAGTACCCAGATTATTGGCCGTAACTCGAACGAAGTTTAGCGGACAAATCAATTCGATCGGTTGGCGATTCCATGGCCCAGCAGATAAGAGCGACGATATTTTTCCCGGTGCCGACGGTGAAAGTCGACGCGTGTGCGCGCACGATGCCATATATAGTCCTTTATCTGCACCGATAATGCCAATAGGCGGGATTTTAACGTTGAGTCTCTCGCACGTTGCTCCCTTATCTTTGAGTCGTAAAGGTGATCGCTGAGCGAGTTTCCGATCATCGTCGCAACGTAAACGTTGATTCTAACTATCACGCGTATTAGCGATGCTGTAACAGACTCTCTCTCTCTCTCTGCGTCGTTGTGTATTCCCTTACGAGTACGTGTTCGCCAGTTAGCTCTGTATCGTACAAGTTACGTCTGCGACGTAAACGTACCTACCAAACAAGGTTACATTATCAGTAATTGTTTGACGATGAAGTAAAAAACTCTTCTTTTTCTTCAAAGAAAGCCCGTTCTCAATTTCAATATTAATTCAGGCTCATATATAATAATACTCTTATGCAGAGAGTTACAGCCGTATCTGAATTATTTCACACGCATTACGTAATCGCAATGATACATAATCAGCTCGATACCTGTAATTTGCAATGTCCAAGCATCGTATTCAATTTGCACGGCTTCCTTTCCTGAAACGGAATATCGGCATTGACACATAAACGATATCTAGACACGCAATAATTACAGACCTTGCTGATTAATCGTTGTTCGCTAATCGACTAATAATTTGGCTAATGATGAAAATATAATTACAACGTTGTATGAATAATCCGATCGTTAGCACCGGGCCGTACGCGCAGTATTCTGTATGAATAATATGTAGCAAATTAATTCTCAGACCTCCACCGCATCGAACGCGCGGATAACTTATGCTTGCGTTTTCGCATGCATTTCGCGTGCATTTACGTGATCGCGCTTACATTCGAATGAAATTGTCAGGTTTTATTATGCGACCTGCTCGCGCAATTTATTCTGTTCAATAATTTAACGCGCGGCGGCTACCCTATACATACATTTGATGACACGGAAAACTTATCGGGTTACGTTTGTTTGTCGGGTTGTAATTTTTTTTTTTTTTTTTTTTTTTTTACCGCCATGTCAGCCGCGACAATGATATGTACCGGCCGGTAAAAGTATGACCGTTATGATAAATGTATACATTTTCAAAATGTAGTGGTCCGACTTTATTCACGCTTATCTTTAGCGAGTAAATAGCGCAAATAAATATGTCACATAATCAAATGTTTTCATTTATCAATGCGTTACACTGACGTTACGATATAATGACATAATTTAAAGACTGTTTTAGTAATTATAACATCGCTTAAATTAGGAATAAACGTGCGCATCGACTTTCAGTCAAATTCTCACATTAACCTAAAGTTTCGTCTGTCATGCGTTAAATATACATTGTGACAAGCATTTATAAATTTCCTTGTCATCAATTTTGCCTTCTTCGTCTCCTTATTAAGCTTACATCATGATGAAACGAATACGAGAGAATCGTGTTAATTCTACTGTATTTTCCCGCGCGGAAAAGTACGGTGTACGTCGCATAAATGTTTAGGCATGCAATATGCCGGGGATCCGTATCAAATTCATAGCATTCTTTTGTACATCATAATTGGGTCAAGCGTAAATATTTGACCGGACAGGAAACGTTGAGCTTCGCCCGTTTTCAGCGTTGCCTTGTGAATGCCGAGTGATGTTTGAATCGCGAGAGATCCTTTTATAACCGTTAGCAGCTGCTCGTCATCGCTTGTTCGTTACACATTTTTCCAATTTCATTATTTTAAAAATACATGCGCGTTGCACACACACACACACACGTTGTTTGCCTTTCTACCGTGTATATATGTATAATTCGCATTTTTATTGAATTAGAAAAAAAAATATTTACGCACACACATATGAAACATTGCGCACACAGAAATTTGAGCATTTAAGATTGTGAATTATGCCAATAACTGAAGTATTGTAAATTGCCAAGCTCTTTTAGTCTTCTTCATCTCACGAGAGAGACCGGAGCTCATTAATTACTGCAGGATTCGGCAGACAACGCGCTTTCGACGAAGAAATTTCTTCTTAACGATCCTCCGAAGATCGTGCATTCTTCACCAGCTGAGTTCCAAGGGAGCTGTAAAACTGCATTCTTTATGAAATCTATCTTTAGCCTTTAGAGATAATTACTTTAGGTACAAAACTTCGCGAAGTGCGCGAACGAAGGGTGAGTCGCCGGTTTTTTTTGCAGCACACAATGCGCGCTCTGCACGCGGCAACGAAATATATTTTCCGAACGACGAGTGTTTCTCACCGCGAACACATCGGCGTTTGTTTTCGCGCCATAATAACTCGCCGGTGATAAATCACGCTCATACGATACTTTGTCAAACTGGTCTGACAGCGCGTTTAAATAATTAACCTTTTGTCCCAGACGGGTGTGTAATTTTTTATTGAATCCTGTAACAGAGAGGCTCAGCCAACTGTGCGATCTCGCACGTATATGAAATAATGTGATTCAATTTTGTGAGCGCTGATGACGATGGTGATTTATATTGGCTCTTTTGTAATGCGTTTTGTCCTAATAATTAATCTCACACTTAAATATTTATAATTTTTATACTTAATATTTATAAATTGTCTAACATTGAATATTTATATTAATTTATTAATGATCATCTTTTTTTCTTTTGTTCTCTCTCTCATAGTTAAAAAATAGCATTTTAAAGAGAGATTAACATCGAAACTCGAGGGTATTTAATCTTAGTAATCAATAATCTTCTAATCAATATTTATTACTTTTCCGCGTTACTGATTTTTCACTTGTGATTTGTGCTTGATAGTTTGAGAAACTCAAATATATTGCGTATATTTTTGATATTTCGGAATTATATGTACAAAAATTGCGTAAAATCAATATCGCACTTGTAACGCATTGCGTTTAGTACTATATAAAACTAACGATCGGAAAATAGAGAGTTTTTTTTATGTTCGTTTGGTAATACTATCTTGAAATTTTTTATTATTAATAATACAAATGGTAAATGATATCATGTTCACATTTTATCAATCAATCAATCCACCATACTGTAACGTGAGACAAAAGTTTAAATAATCCACTATTGTGCTGTAACAACGTTTAACTTTATATAAATTTTGCCGCAGGTGTGCCGGATTACATCTCGCTTCCGACATATCACGCATACCAACGTGGCAGTGATTTACACGTATCAGAATCCTGTAGATTTTCAGTCGAGCACGTTGGAAGCGCAAACAGAAAAACATTACTGTTTGCTTGATGAAAAATATAAAATTATAAATATTTCAGCGCGTAACTCATTTAACTGTAATAAATTTCTGCTGTTTCTGCACGTTTCGTGACATTTACGTCGCGTTCAATTATTTATACCGACTTATCCGAATGAATAATCTTTCGCAGCTACAAAACGTTACATGCTTTACATATAAAATAGTATGAATAACGTTATTTTTTTCTTGCTCATTTTAACTCATACGTGTATATATTCTTCAAATGTATATAAAACGCGCGAGCGTGTGGGTGCATGAGTATACTTAGTATTTGCTAAACAGAATCGCAATGTGTATCAAATTTTTTATTTTTATCAGCAGTGTTAAAAAGAGAATATTTATATTTATTACAAAATATTATATTTATATGAAACTTGCTGCGTCGCAATATCATTGTCTCTATAATAACTTTGACTCCCGCAGTTTTGTGATGTACCACGCACCATGTAACGATCCCTACCGTAACTTGTATCTCTTTATTTTGTGTCGTAGAGTATCATAGCTCACGGGCCGGGAATGGTGTTCCACGTCATAAACCTCGTCGTGATGGTACTGACGCCGATGGTGGTCATCCATGTGAAGGATTCCGGATTCAGCTTGGGTAAGCGCCATTTTACGTATCGTTTCACTCGTGAATTTCGCGTGCAACCGCATCCACTGCGATATTACTTACGTGCCGGCATGAACGGTCGCGGATCGATCGCCGGCTAGCGTACGGATGTACGTAAGTAATGTTGTCGAGTTACCCGAACGCGCGATTGGAATAATACCTACTATATAGCGTCGTCGTGCATGCAAAGAGGCGCGAGTTTATATGCAGTCACTCGGTACACGCTTCAAATCGTTCGGGTATTCATCAGCCTTGCTTATCGCATGTATCCACTTTTTTTTTCCGTGACATACAATTAATTCCTAATCTATTTGCTCACGCTACGTTTCTTCCCGCTGTGCACCGTAGTGCGTGTACGCCATTATCGGTAGGTGTCTACGAACACACGTGTCCATTCATTTATGAAAGTGTTAACGTGAGCACTTTTAGAACCTTATACGACAGGGTGGATAGTTTTTTTAAACACCGTCATCTCTCTCTCTCTCTCTCTCTCTCTCTCTCTCTCTCTAATTGTACAGCAGTACAATACCGCAATTTGCCGAGACACTGAACGACTAAACTCATTATTTTTAACAAATTGTGCGCTTATTTTCATTATGTGAGAAATTAAAGGTACGCGTCGGATTACGAAATAACAGATTTTTAATTGCTCACCGTTGCTACGTCCATCGTGCGGTGAAAATTCGTTTTCGAGAAAGAGAGAGAGAGAGAAAGAGAGAGAGAGAGAGAGATCGTGCTGCCGTATCAAAAATTCTATTTAAATGCAATACGTATGGTCATCCGCGCAAATCGAAGTGCCAGGGGAGAGTCACAGAGAGTTCACATGCAAATGCAATTATTCGCGTGCTCTCTTTTACGTCTACAACTTAATGAGTATTCGCGCCGTATATTAAGATAGATAACTAATATATATCACATATTTTTTATCTTGCTTTTAATGAAAAGCGCGTGAGAGAAAAAAAAAGATATCGAAGTTTGCGTAATTAGAGCGCGCGTCTCCTTCATAAATTAAATCGGAAATCTAATCGCAACATTACTCTTTTTCCTTGAGATTGCGTGTCATAGTCTTATCCCGTTTGGAGAAAAGCAATTAAAATGTAGCTGCGCCAAAGCAACGCGTTTATATCTAATTAAAAGAATTTAAATTAATTCTCATGAAGAAAGACGTGTTCTTCGCAAACGACCGATCGATTCTATAGCTTTATTGTCGCGCGTCGCGCGCGCGATCTAATTTACTCTTTTTTTTTTTTTTTTTTTTTTTTTTTTTTTTTATTCTGAATGACGAATTATCTCAGACAAAAGTCGGAACTTTGTGGAAAATTTCCTGGACTTTAATTAAAAGATCTTTAATCGTAGTCGGAGCGGAAGAGACGCCGAACGTAATAAGTCGGTGTTCTTCCGGTAATCACGTTCAGTATTTTCAATATTTCTTGAGCATTTACATACTCAACACAGAAGTACCAGTAAGTACTCGTGAGAGTCCTTCTCCGGTTTCTCGAGTGAACTGAATCGTATGCTTCTCTTGACATTTGTAAGAACACTCGAACTGAATCTTGTATTACCAACTTTATACTGTTATCGAGTATATCTCTACCGTTCGTCTTTTTCCTCTCAGCAAAACTGAAGAGGCTTTTGATTCTGTTGCGATATTCGGCCGTCAATCGTCTCCGATATGGTCAATGGGAGAACGGGAGATTTGCGGATCGATCGTAAGTTCAGATAAAACGAAAGAACGCGAAGAACTTGCGGAGAATAGAATTGTCAAAGCCCGAGGTATTGACAAGAGAAGATCCTTTTGTTTCGGAAGAGATACATTCATCTTTTAATGCTTGTATGTGTGTTTGCAAGGAAGAATTAATTTCTCTATAGATTGCTCGAATGGTGAAAGACGTATAATAAAGAGAAAAGAAAGTTAAAGACGACTCTCTCTCTCTCTCTCTTTCTCAAAGCAAAATTGTAGAATTCTCCGTTTTTAATGTTTCGAATATCAAAATTCTTGGTACAAGTGCAGATTTTAAGACGTTATAATAGATGAATATTCACGAAACGTACAATATTAAATTGCGAGTAATTTGAAGTTTGCGGTCGTGGAAAGTTTTCTTGGCCCGCGGCCACCGCCACTTCACACCAGAGAATTTCCAGATTGAACAGTAACGGATGACAATGAAACTTCGAAGTTGGATCGAAGCTTTTGAACTTCGACAGGAGAACATATGACCTCCTATCATCGGAGACGCAGTGTAGTCGAAGGTGAAGGATCGTCATGCTTCAAGCTCCGCGAGATTTACTTCGCCACTGCGAAATTGTGGAAGTGTTACTGTGGATATTGGCACATTTGAAAACTCGTTACCCAAATAACTCTGATAGTTACGAGTTTAGGTTACTGCAAATTGGATACAAAATACAGTATAACTATGTAACGATATATATTCTCGATCGGGAATTAATATGTTGGAAAAAATAAATATTGCGCGAACAAGAAAAGGTACACCAAATTTATTATATACGTATTATCGTGCCAATGACAAAATATGTCGGAAGAAAGATTTGTGCGGAATTTTTATTGTACTTAAAACATTTTGCATGTATATATCTTGCATATTACGATGTTTGCGATATTACTAAGGCAAACCGTCGTAAAACATAGCGCTCGGAGAAGCATTAACGTCGAGAACACGTAGAACGTGATAGTTGAAAGAGAAATTCTCTGCGAAAATCTAGAAATCTTTGACGAGCGTCCAAGAAATCCTTAAGAGCCTTATTCTCCTTTTATTTTCGTCCGTAAATCGTCGTAGACGGGCATCCTGGGAATATCTCCGTCGGTGTGAATGCGTCTTTACGTCCCGACTCGCGTAAAGACATCAAGACCTCGGTGTCTACGTGAGTGAATACACTTTTGAGTGCACACTCTCGTATACGTCTCGCATGTTGAAGGGTGCATCCCGGGCAAAGGGGAGACGAAGAGTACTACTATTCGGCGGTGCGGAGGGAGAGAGAGAAAGAGAGAGAGAGAGACCGTGAGAGAACCCGAGTCGTCCGAGCACTTGAACCAAAGCCACTGCACTCCCGCTCGCGAGGCGCACTCGGCTACGACTAGGGGAAGTTTTAAGAAGCGCTTAGGCGGCCCAAACTCGTGCGAATCTTTGCCTTTCGCGCCGTTGCGGCTTCCAGAGCTACCTCTCGCGCTTTCACGTCGCTGATATAAAAGAACATAGTTGCAGTAGATCTTTCTTAAGCGCGCCGACACATACATTACTCTCTTCACATACTACGCGGAGAATCTATTTGATACATTAGCATATACGTATGTTGCAATTTTTATTTTTATTATCTATTATCCTATTTTTTCGAGAGCGACACTTGCAATTGGTAGTCATTAAAAGAATTTCAAGTTTGGTTAACAAATTAATTCGATTTTTTTTTTTTTTTTACGTTCAACGGGAGAATGCTCAACAATTCGCCATTAAACGGTTCGTTGAGTTTTTCTGATTTCACCCGTCCGTCATTGTTTCATTTCGCGTATTCACTTCGATAATCGCCAGACGCACTCGGCACAACCGAGTTTTTTTTCCTCCCTCGAACGCGTACATCGAACGATTTAATTCTCCCGAACGAGCTTCTCTTCCGGACGAACAACGGGGGAGTTGGAACACGCGAGGTACTCGCGAAAAACTATAGCGCAGAGGCGGACGCGACACGTAGCACAATGCCGTCGACCGCCGCAATTACGATGGTCGATGCAAAAGGACGTCGAATTTCGCTCATTCGGAAGTGCTCCTACATCGTCCGACGAGTATGCCGTGTTTTTTTTTTTCTATTGATACTGCGAAACGTGATACCCGATAGAAACGCGACATGGACCAGTCACGGCCTTTCGACCGCTCTTTTCCTCTCTTTCTCGCTTTTCCGATCTGTCAGCACGCCGCTGCTCTCGCGACCGTTTTCGCACGCGCTCTGCCCACATTTTCCCGCGTCGTTCGCGTGGCAGATAGCCGCAAACGCAGTAAAAGGCGTCGAGTGTTTGCCGCACGGTTAAGTGGTGCCATATTGTTCAGAGAGGACCCTTGCCTTCGGTTGAATGATTGAAACCACGTGTCGATATAAATACAATCGCATGTGTCATCGCGTCGAAAGCTCGCGGACCTCGAAAATGGAAAGTCAATACGCGATTATTAATGATAATATCTGATGCGATTATTAATAATATAAAATTTAAAACTTATATTTTTGCGCACATATGCGCAATGAATAGTTTTTAAATGAAATATGTAGGTATTTTTAGTGAGTGAACGGTAATAGAACTCACAATCAGAGTAAAAAAGTCACTTCAGTAGAAAAGCCGTTTATTGATCCGACACGTCAATGAAACATTTCGTTGTATTTGACCTTTTATGTATTCATTGTAATTCTTTTTGATTAAAGTAGTTATTTACAAAATAATTACCTTTGCTTTTTATGTTTGCTAATTAGACAATCTCGAAATTGTTTTATTAGTAGAGTGGCCGAAATTTAGCTTAAAATTAAGTTTAACTTGAAATTTGGTTTGACAGAAGCGAAAAGTTGTGTTTTAATTAAAATTTTGCACATATATGTATATGTATTTTAATTAAAGTGATTTTCTCGTATTTGGTTTACCTTCTCTAATATGTATATTTTTTATTTTACTTTGTTCTTTGTATACAAAAAAGAGAACTAAGTTTTTTATTTCAACTACGGAATAAAGCAAAAAATACATATCAAAGGTAAGAGCAGTCATGAGAAAAAACAAAATTGCATATTTAATAATTGAAAAACTAAACGTTATAACTCTTTTTCTGGCTTGGAATAGTTAATTTTGCTATTACTGAACTGATAATTACGTCAGTTTATAAACTTTTGAACTTTTTACAATATTTTTTATTATTTGATAACAAAGTGTGATTTTCCAGTTTAATAATGTATATTATTTTTAACCTTTAATCATTAGTGATTATTTAATCCGGTGTTATCTC